ACCGCATTTGTGTGCGATTTTTAGTTCATGCCATAGACTTTTGTAAAATTTGTATAAAATTTTCAGATTTGACGGATATCCACTTCTGTTTGTATAACTACGTAAAAAATCAATCAGATCGAAATATCAATTACCGATTTCGAAAGTAGAGATTTCAAGCATTAAAATGCTTTTTTAAAAATCTCGTTATGATCATTTTTTACGAAGTTACATTCTTCTGAATTTTGACCTATTTTTGAGGTTGAACTTAAGTGATCCTTTAATTTTTTTGCGTAGTGTAATACAACATACTTTTTCTCAATACTTTGGATCCAATATACAAATATCTATCATTTTATTTAATCAATTAATACATTTATATACATTAATATATTTAGACATTTACACTTACTTCACAAATATAAGAACATTGAGAAGGTTGTCAATTTTTTTTGCTTATCTTTTCGAGCCATAATGTTTGCCGTTCTAAATTTGCAGGAAATCGCTTTAAGAGAGAGAGGAAAAACCTTTCTTATTGCTATTGAAACAGCCAGGGACACAACAACTAGGCATTTTCTGTTATGTGTAGAATTTAAATTATTATTATAACATTAAATTATATATATTAGCTGAAGTGAATAAACTCTATTCTATTCTTGGTAAATGTTGAAGAAGACCCCCTCCATCTCAAATTTTGATAAAAATATACTCAATCGACGCGTTTCTGAGTTTCTGGTGTCGAAAAAAGTATCGCTCTGCCTCACGATCCGAAATATTAAGCGTCAAAGTTAACAACTAGGTTAGGAAATCTGTTATAGCCACAAAATCCTCTGCTTTAGAAACAAATTCACTACTTTGGAAACAAATTCACTACTTCTTATCTCAGGTGGAGAGGGTCTTCTTAACATTTACCCTATTCTTCATTAAATTAATATTTGAAAAAAGTCAAAATATTAACAGAGAACAGGCTAATGAGAGTTTTTTCGCTGTAAGTCGTGCGAGCAAATTATTTATTAAATACGAAAAAAATCAGCTGACGTTTCGGCTTACATTTGAGCCATCCTCAGTGTATCTGATCCATATACAATCAAAATTCTTAGCTGGTTTGACATTTTGATTGCCAACTGTCGTCTTGTTGACATGCATAAGTCATTACTAAGTATGGATACGGATATACAGCGAAATTAATTTAATTTTTAATTGATTATGTTCACGGTTTGATGGAATTCATCTTCAATTTATTTGGTCGCCGGATCTGTTAACCTGGTGTCTTTGTAAATGAAGCGGAATGATTGGGCACTCTCCTATCAAACCAGCTAAGAATTTTGATTGTATATGGATCAGATACACTGAGGATGGCTCGAATGTAAGTCGAAACGTCTGTCACTCATATCAACTGGTGCCTAGTAATTTTTCACTGTTTTGCCAATGAGATTATTTTATTTTTAAATTAGCCAATCAGCGATACATGTGTGCAATCGGAGCCCTCCCGGATCAGATACACTGAGGATGGCTCGAATGTAAGCCGAAACGTCAGCTGATTTTTTTCGTATTTAATAAATAATTTGCTCGCACGACTTACAGCGAAAAAACTCTCATTAGCCTGTTCTCTGTTTATATTTTGACATTCTCGAGAGTTTATTTGATTTCTTATATTTGAAAAAAGGTTAGAATGCCATTTTATAGTGAACTACATATTTGCCTTTAATTTCTGAACTTTATTTCGATAAACTGAAAGCATAATATATATTTCACCTCTTTATATCAGCTTCAAACATTAATATTCTGCTAAATAAAAATCACGTTTAAATGCTGCATACAGAGTTTGTATACAGTGTCTCAGAAAGTTCGCCTGGGAAAGTAAAATGAGCTTAATGAGCCACCCTGTATATCGTCGTCATTTTGTTACAAACCAAAGATTGTCCAGTCTCTATTAAAGGGTCTCTAGGTGAAGGGGATGGCGGATAGGATTAGTAAGATAGAGAGAGAGAGGAGGGGAAGCATGGAGGATATAGAGAAGTTTATGAAAAGGAAGAGAGAAAGAGAGGGTGGAAAGGAGGGAGAGGGGAAGG